CCCTTTTTACTCTAATTCCCCGAAAACTCTCCGAATCGGTAAAATAGATAAAATAAGCAAACACCACATAATAACAATATATAATTTCTCAATTTAAACAAACATCAATTAAATAAATTAAAAGACTCAACAATTAATGGGAATTCAGAATCGGGGTGTTACAGAAGGAGCCTGAGTGGTCATAACTATAGGAGTTATACAATTGTAAACATTTCGTTCATTTTGATAGAGTCTCAGTGATTCCATATACGTAAATACCTGAGTTGGGAATTACGTATATCACTACATCTTTATCAGCTTAGAATGTGATTGCCCCATTATCGGTTAATGGAACATGATGAGATAGGTATATCATATTTTTTATGAATCAACATGTGAGACTAAGTAGATAGCCTCAGTGAGATAACCATGAAGTTTTAGTTGGTACTCGTCCACGCGGGATGGGGGTGAGATACACTGACGAATGTTACAAGCAGACATTGGCTTGAGTAAAAGGGTATAAAGACTCGGCGGTTTAGATCAGAAACCCATTGAGATTGTTATCTCACTCAAAATTTTCTATATTATTTTCATTGAAGCATCTAGTCCCAATTATTAACACTATGATTCGGAATATATGACGCGTGAAGAGGATTATTCGACACATGATATGAAATTAACTGCAATCGTATTTGCACTTAAGGTGTGGGTACACTACCTTCATAGGATACACATTGAGATATTTAGCGATCCCAAAAATCTAAGGTATTTGTTTGATCATAAGGAATTAGATATACCTCATAAGAGATGAATGGAGTTCATAGTAGGACTACCTCGTACTCTTGGTGGCCATGACCCCATTTGGGTGATATTGGCCATGTTTAACAAGTCTGCTCATTTCCTACCCATCAATAATTCCTATAAGAATAACCAGCTAGCAAGACTCTTCATTGCAAAAATAGTAGGGTTGCATGGTGTACCAACCAATAACATATCTGACCGAGACCCAAAATTCACTTCTAGGTTTTAGAAGGCTTTCCACTATGTAATCAGGCACGCCAACAGGGCGGGCGGGGCAGGTTTAAGCATTACCAGCCTCATCCTCGTCTTTCTTTACCAGCCCTGCCCTCTCCCCCAGACCTAGTCGGGGTAACAATTTACCACCACCCCGCCTAGCCCCCCACCTGCATATATTTTATTTTATTTTTTTAAAATATGTATTTTTTCACAACAATAAAAATTAATAATTAAACTAAATATTTGATCATTTTAAGAATAATTATAATATTTGACAATTTTCATTTAATTTGTATTTAATATAAATGAATAATAATTATAATAAACTTGATATTTTATGATTAAGAAAGGTTAATGGGTAATAAATTTATAAAAAATAAAGATAATAAATTAATTTTAATAGGCGGGGTGCAGGGCGTGGGCTGATACTGACATTCCCATCCCGCCCTTATAATTAAAAATTGAATTTTCCATGCACCCGCCCCCAATTAAATATGATTTCCCCCGTTAGATTCAGGATAGGGGCAATCAGGCCTGACCGGGTTCATATTTTTTTGTCGTGCCTACATGAAATAAGAACTACATTGAACCTTATTATAACTAGCCTTCCTCAATAAGATGGCCAAACGGAGAGAACCATTTAGATTGTAGAGGACATGTTATAGGCTTGTATCTTTGAAAGTTGAAGATGTTGGAATAAACACTTACATTTGATTGAATTCACTAACAACAACAATTATCATTCGAGTATTGGAATAACACCATTTAAGGATTTATATGGAGGAAAGTGTATAACACATATATGTTGGGTGGAAGTTGGGGACAAAGGGATCCTACGGCCGAAGATAATCCAAGAGACCATAGAGAAGATAATGGTTATTCAAGAAAAGATGAAGAAAGATCAAGATCGACAAAAAAAGCTATGCAGACCAACGTAAGAGTCCCTTGGAATTGTATAAAGGATATCATGTGTTTTAAAGGTTAGCCCTAAGCTAGGACTAAAGGGACCATTCAATACGAAGAAGCTAAGTCTGAGATTCAATGGTTCTTACCAGATCATAAGTCGGATAGGTGAATTGGCCTATCAATTGATATTTCCACCTTCCCTATCCAGACTACATGATGTATTTCATGTATCTCAACTTTGTAAAGTTATACCAAATCCTTTTCAACCTATTCTTCCAAATACGGTTGAAGTTACAACAAACCTCACTTTTCAACCACAGCCGAGTTGAATAGTGGATTATGCAGTAAAGTCTCTAAGAAACAAGGAGATATCATTAGTGAGGGTAATGTGGGAAGAATCTCACCCCCAGTGAAACTACATGGGAGTTGGAGTCATAAATGTGGGATAACTACCCTCACCTTTTTCATCTAATTCTTTCAATTTCGAGGACGAAATTTTAATTAATTGAGGAGAGTAGAATATTCCATTTCTTTCTACATATTAATTAATATGAGATTAGGGAGAGATTAGTAGCAAACCATGGAGTTTCTAAACCTAATATAACTAATGGTACATTAGTAATTGGAACTAAAGCTTAAAGGCATAAAGGTCATTGTGAAAGCATATATTATATACCAATTTTGTAAATACTTCTTTGTGTTTCTCCCATTTCCCTCTATCTATAATTAGATTCTAGAGAGAAAGCTAGAGAGAGAGGGTTCGAGTGAGAGAAATGGAGGGGAGGAAGAATAAGAACTTGGCTCAATTTATAGTAATTTTGCTTGCATGCTAAGGAATAAGGATCATTGAAGAAGATAAAAGAGAAAACACAAAGGATCAATAATATTCTTCATCCTCTTCACCATCTCTTTCAAGAATTTAGAAATTCACACTAGTAAGGTGGGGTTCTTAGGCGATGATGGGCTAGATCAAACCTAGGATATTTGCATGTGGTTTTAGATTATTAGTTCTTGAATTCATGATGTTCTTGCATGTTTAATTGTGATTCATTTGGGTTTCTTGCCATTTATGAATTTTCTATACTTCTCCATGTTTCGTGTAAGTTGTGTTGAACTCTTGTATGGAATTTTGGTCTAAATTGCATGAAGTAATGTAGAATTACATGTACCTAGGGAACATTCGAATCGTAATGTCCATTACGAGTTATAATGTCCATTTAGGGTTGGACATAATGGCCTATGGTGCTTGTATGGATGTGGGTTGAGAGGCATTACAGGGCCATAATGCTCATTATGGGCTACCCGTAATGGCTTTGGGTTTTTTTGTATTAGGGGGGGGGGGGGGGGGGGGGGGGATCAGGGCCTGCTACGTGGCGTAATACCCATTATGGCTAGGATGTAACCACCATAAATTCCTTCCTTCCCTAACCTCTCTTGACCCTAATCATGGCTTTACTTTATTCCATTTCTTTTAGGCCTTGCATACTAATAAACCTTTCTTAATGAATGGAAATAATATTGCTTCACCTAGTGTACGAGATTGGACTTTGATATGATAAATAATAATTTTATTATCGAGAGGACTTGTGATTTTAGTAGGACTCCATTGAGATAGTATTATCTCAACCCCATGTTATTGATTATATTTTTAGATGAGCAGGTTTTTGGAAAAGGGAAAAGCAAGACAAACTAAGGAGTAATTGAAGACTTTCTTTATGTTTTGTTTCTGTTGTGTATCTTCTTAGAAATTTATGTTTAGACATGTTGTATATATATGTACATTGATGTAACATATGTGTTTTTCATGTGTACTTATGTTAGTTATCTAATATTTGATGGATCAGTACCAACGTTTAATACTCTAAATGTGATGATTCCTGATACTATCTAATTTTGGCGTATTATAATAGATTCGTCGATAATGGTGACAACCCTAAACTTGATAGCTTTGCAAACATTGTTGATGATATCAAGTAATCAGTCCCTTATTTAAACTGTTCTAATCATTTCTTTTTACATTTTTTGCATTTAAATTTAATTATTTGTTTATTTTTAAATAATGTACAACTTGTGAAACTTAACTAAAAATACACTTTTAAAAATTAACACTTCATCAATTTATAATTTAAAAAAATAAAAAAGAGCCAAATCAGTTTGATTTTAAAATAGATAAACTAATTTCGTGGATGATATATAAAATAGTGGTTATTATAAAAATATGTTTATCAATACTTACGGATAAGTAATTAAATATGCATTTACTTATATATATATATATATATATATATATATATATATATATATATATATATATATATATATATATATATATATATATATATATATATATATATATATATATATATTCTTATTGGTGACATAAGTAGAATCAAATAGACTAATTTATATCGGATTTAAATCCATAAATTTTAGCTAAGTATCTGTAATTTTAAAATAAGTTTATTTAAGAAAAATTTAAATAAATAAAATGAAATGAAAAAATAACAGCAATAAATATTATTATTTAATTGGTACTAATAGATATCTATCCAACTAAATTAAAAAGAAACCCAAGTGTTCATCCAAAATTTATTGCATTTTATAGACAAAATGAAAAATGGGTATTCAAATAAATCAGATTAGGTACAATCATTACCGTGCGCAGTCAACAACTCGTAACTGCCCAAATCCAACGATTCAAATTTATACACAGGCTTTTATTTTATAAAATATAAAAATTTAAAATGAAACAACAACCGTCTGATCTTAATCAAACAGCCTAAAACTTGCTGACTAGTGAACGTAACCATAGTACAAAGTACACAACCGACCTTGCATCTTTTATTGAAGAGAGAGAGAGGATAAGATAAGCACATTAGCATCACAGAGTGTTATCGAGTCAGCAAAACAAAAACCACACAAAACAACAAAAACAAAAACAACTTATAATAATTCATTATTTTCCCCGAACCCTTATCCATTCCCAACCTAACAACCATATTTCAACCAAACCGCGGCGACACACCGCCGATTCAACTTCCATTCTTTTTTCCAACCAACACAACTTCCTTTCTGTTTCCTTCTTCTTCAATTCTTCAATGGCTTCTCTCTCTATTTTCCTTCCTCTCTTTTTCTCTCTCCTCTCCGTTACTTCTTCCTCCCCAAATTCCATCCTCCTCCCAATCACAAAAGACTCCACAACACAACAATACTTAACAACAATTTCTCATGGTACCCCTTTTGTTTCCACCAACGTTGTTGTTGATCTCAGTGGTTCAGTTTTCTGGCTCGATTGTTCTTCCAGAAAATCATCATCTTCTTCTCTCCGTACAATTCCTCATCGTTCTCTTCAATGTCTCACCGCATCAAGCCACTCACAAGCATGGCCTATAGATCAAGATCAAGACATCCCTTGTGAAATTCTTCCCAAAAACACCATCACAGGGAAAGTCGCAACTGAAGGAGTTCTTGTTGAAGATGTTCTGAAACTGAAGTCAACAAAAGATTCAATTTTTCAACCTACCCTTGACCTTTTCTTTGCCTGTTCATCTTCTCTTCTCTTGAGTGGTTTATCAGATGATGCTAAAGGCATTGTTGGGTTTGGTAGATCTAGAACTTCTTTCTCATCACAGTTTTTCAATTCAGTTGATTCACAGAGAAAAATCACTTTTTGTCTCTCTTCATCTTCTGGGTCTGTTCTACTTGGTCAAAACAACGTTTTAGAATCTGAGAAAATTTTCAGATCTTTAACGTTCACACCACTTGTCACCAACCAAAACAATGAATATTTCATCAACGTTAACTCCATCAAAATCGGTGGCAAAAAGGTCTCTTTCAACACTCCATCTCTGTCTCAAGAGGGCTATAGTTATGAGGATGGGACTAAGCTGAGTTCTGTTGTGCCTTATACAACCATGCAAAGTTCAATCTATGCGAACTTCAAAAGTGCTTTTGTCAAAGCTGCTTTATCTATGAACATGTCTAGAGTAGCTTCAGTTTCCCCGTTTGAGATTTGTTTTGATTCTAAAGGAGTTGGTGAGTCACAAACTGGTCCTAATGTGCCTGTTATTGATTTTGTTCTCCAAAGTGAGATGGTGAAGTGGAGAATTAATGGAAGAAACTCCATGGTCAGAGTGAATGATGATGTTATGTGTTTGGGAATTTTGGATGGTGGTGATGAATTGAAGAATCCTATTGTGGTTGGAGGGTATCAAATGGAAGATGTTTTGGTTCAGTTGGATTTGGATAGTTCTATGGTTGGATTTAGTTCTTCGCTTTTGATTAAGGATACTAGTTGTTCTAAGTTTAGATTTGGTTCAATGGATGTTCAATTTCAATCTAGTTGATGAAATTACTATGGTTAGAAATTATATAATAGAAGAGACATATCAATATCATATAGTTTTTTTGTTAGGTTATGTTGATTTGTGAGGAATATTAATCAGTTTTGTAATCACTTTTTATGTGATGTGAATATGGCGTTGGAATTTTTGGTTCAGTTCTTTTTGATATTGGAATTGAATTATTCCATCTAATGTAAGCTTTATTTTATCATTTATCTATCAAATAAAAAGGTTGATGGGTTGAGTTATCTTGTTGAGTGTACTTGATTGGTTGATTGTTATCTTCTATTGTGGGTTATGGTTAACATTTAATATCTATTTTGGTTAAAATTTTATTATAAAATAATCTAATATTCAAGGTCTAATTTATGCAAGATTTAAATAAAGATACAATAATTTCAGACAATGAAGTGTTTGAAAAAAGCATATATTACAGAATATCTCATTTTTATTCCTTCGTGTCCGTCCGTGTCTAGCATGGCAGTACTAGTACTAATAGAAAGGGAATTCAAGTCAATTAATTAGTGGGGTTATCAAATACTGCCATACATACCTTGTGACGGTAGCGGTATAGATATTTAAAACTGTCTAAATAAAAATTATAAGTATATTAAAAACATTTAAAATCAAAGAAGAAATATTAGTATTATATGTGTTTAAATGATATTTCATATTAATGTTTTAAGTTTTTGAATGGATCAAAAACTTGATAAAAGATAGTTCATCCGAAACATTCCCAACCAACTCTCATGTGGAAAGGACCCCACGTCATAGAAAAAGTATGATTTAAATATATCAATTTTGATTTTTTGAGTGACTTATGCATTGTAGTGTTAATCTTACATATCAATCTTTGTCTGTTATACCAAAAATTTACTCCACTATACTAATGTTTTGTTCCACTTATCACTAAATAACTATGCCTTCTTAACAGAACAACGACGTTTGTGGGAATCGTCTCCTTGTTTCTTATTCCTTTGAGTTTCCACAATCAAATCCATTTAACTCAAGTTATAAAAGTTGTAACGAACACGCTAAGATGAAGATTACATCCTTCGATTCTGCTTCCCATAGTACCTTGTATCCTTCTAATGCCGAATCATCTTCGTTTCTCGTCGATTCGGCTGACCAAAGGCAACTTGGCCACAAAAAGCCTCCATCACGAAGCACGAAGCAATATGTAGGTTGAGAAGCGATTGAAAGATAGACCGATGTTAGAGCTTCAAAACCACTAGTAGGTGGATGGAACTCATTACACAACACTTCCATTAGTCGTAATTGCCATCATAAAAAATCATTTGGTGACCGAGATCTTCATTGACAATAGAATCTTCAGGAAGTTAGAGTTATGTATGCAAGATTTGAAACCATATGAAGGCAATAACATACTAGCATTCAATGACTTATGAACACAACCATGTGAGACGATAGATCTACTAGTTTTTTTTTTTATAGAGGAAAAGATAAGAGGACCGTAGACATGACTTTTATTTATTGATGTCAAATTTATTTATTAGTTTCTTGTGTGTCAATTTTCAATGATAGATAAAAGTAATATGTTGAGAACTCACCTAAGGGGCATGAATGTAAGATTTGTGTTGATCAAGGTAACAACCTTTTCAAAGAGGTGTATAAGAAGACAAATAGTTTTCAACTAAGAAAAAATGAGTTTTATTATATGATCTGAATTGGATAATTTTTCATATTAAAAATAAAAGACTATAGAAAATCCCCTAAAATTTCTATATCACAAGGAAGGAGATGAACATTTATAAATAAATCTAGTTAAACTAAAAAACATTTTTAGTGACCGATTTTTGTGTCAATAAATTGGTCATTGAAGTTCAATATTACACATACATTCTCATGTCAACAAAAATTGACATTGTTGTTGACATTTGGATTGAAAGTACTAATATGATAAATTTGAAGTATCAAAGTGATATATTTTTTAAGTTATGGGACTAAAATGAGATGGGAGTACATGATGTAGGACGAAAAAAGATATTGAATGTGAAAAATAATATTTAGACAATTGACTTCTTTGGACAACTATTTGCAATTTGCACATAATGTTTTAGGTCCTCTAAAAACATAAGACTTTATCATAAAAAGAGAAGGCAAACGTCAAATCAAGGTACACAATTCACCTAAAGTACCTCACATTATCGACGACCATTAACTTAGATGTCATAGTGTTTGGAGATATCATCCTCCCTCAACGCTAGGCCAAACATGAATTACGCCTTCAAATTCCAAAAAATCACCCCAAAAACTAACATGTTGTTATCATTCATATGGCTATATGAGGCACAAAACACATTCTCCAACTCCTTATGGGTGTTCCTCTGCCATATTTGAATATGAAGAGTACCTTCCAATACACTGTTGTCATTGTCACTGACACATTTCACATTCCTCTTCATCTAACCTTTATGAAGGGAAACAACATAATCTCAACAACACATGCATTCTGAAATTAGTGGCATGCTAACCCAAACCCCCACACTTGAAACACCTCAGGAAATAGAAGTTCATCCCCCACTTATTTCAATCTTGCTCATGTTGGCAAGCATCTAGGAAAGAAAAACAAGCATCAACAGTGTTCACATACATGTCGTATTCTAAGGAAATAAAGCAATTCACAAAACCTAGGCTGAATGGACTGATCTGCTCTAATACCAACTATGTAACACCCTAAAACTTCAAACAAATCTAAAACAATCAACTTAGACAACGATAACATTCAGTTCGCAGTGTTATAAATCAGAACAACCTAAGACTAAATAACAGAAAACGATAAATAAATAAAGAAATTCCTTAGTGCCATCTTCCAACTCACAACAACTATTGCTCCTCCTAAGCATCTATACCACATCGTATAAAACACTATAAACAAAACAAAAGAGTGATGAGAATACACTCACATTTATTAGCGGTGCAAAACATATCAAGGGTAGCATATTCACACAATCATTAACACACATAGAATATTCTCAATAACAAAACAATTCACAAGGCTTTCATGTATCCAATGTGACCCACAATCTCGACTCAATTCACGTGGTACCATTTCATGGGCATCAGAGTTACGTTAATAATATTCATTGACTCACTACGGTTCTTCTTCGAACTCGATTCCTCTTTGAACCCAAACTCATCACTAATCCATGCTTCTGAATCAACGACTCATCACTTCTCAACACGACACATCATGAATGACATACAAATGCAACAACACAATTAGTTCCACTTCGAATAACATACAACACCAATTAAGGAAATCACAGTAGTTCTCATTCTGAACTACATGCCTCAACATCAACAACTTATAATTATATTAACAGTCCACAACTCATACACATAATTATGATTCACAACATATAACTATGTAAGACATCTTAAATCTTAAACTTATTGTTCTAAACTAGACTAGCACATGCCCTATAGTTGGGAAAGGCCCAATCCAGTCCAGCCTAAGGCTAGGCCCAATAAGGAGATTGGGCACAATATGACTGTTGGGCGCGATATAATCGTTGGGGACATTCCCCTCACACGCTTGACAGTTCACGTGACCAACTGCCCTTCTGAAATTCATGGAGACAGTTGAACAAGGTCAAAGATCACACACTAGATCCTCCATAGAGTGCGACGACTCTAAACAAAGGTTAGTGAGTAAGGAAGGAATGTCCACGGCGGGACGACTAAATAGAGCACGGCGACTCCAAGTCCTATGGTAAAGGTAAACAAGGGAA